AACTCCTGGGCTCAAGCGATCCTTCTGCCTCAGCCTCCCGAGTAGCTGGGACTACAGGCATGTGCCACCATGCCTGGCTCATTTTTTCTATATTTTTAGTTGTCCAGATCATTTCTTTCTATTTTTTAGTAGAGACGGAGTCTCACTCAGACTGGTCTCGAACTTCTGACCCTGAGCGATCCACCCGCCTCGGCCTCTCAGATTGCTAGGATTACAGGCGTGAGCCACCGCGCCCGGCCCTTTATACATTTCTTTTAACATTCGATTAACCTTTCTTGCCTAAAGTACCAATACATTTTTTTCTTTTATTCTTCCCCATTACCATCTGATGTTTCGACCAAGCTCAAATAATTCAACAAATATTTTAGTATCTACCATGCACAAGGCAACATGGAAAATACTAACATAAACACAGGCCTCTACCTTCTATAAAAGCTTTATCTCACCTTTTAAATATTAAATATAAATAACTGACCTTTTCCTATAAAGTAAACATAATATTTCTAAAAAGGAAACAAAATCATACATAACTTAAAAATTTCCAGCTCAAGTCACCTTCTTTAATTATGACAGCTTACCTTACCCATTATCTTCCGTCCATTCATAGCAGCTAGTGCTGCAGCTGCATGACGATGCTCATGAAACTCCACAAAACAATATGGATCATTTCCAGCTGTCTGTTGGAGAAGAAACACAAAAGCCAATTTTAAGCTTTATGCTCCCATTACCTTAAAATTATGCAAAGATTTCCCCCAAGTTTTATGTATCTAAGCTAGCAAGCCATGGAGAATGAAAGGTCCAATCCACAAGTAAATTTTTATTTTTAATTACTTTACTTTTTCAGAGATGGGGTCTGGCTCTGTTGCCTAGGCTGGAGTGCAGTGGCATAGTCATAGCTCACTGCAGCCTCCAACTCCTGGGCTTGAGGGATCCTCCTGCCTCAGCCTCTTGAGTAGCTGAGACTACAGGTACGTGACACCACCCCCAGCTAATTCAGATAAAAAGGAAATAGTGGTGAGTGCCTGTAGTTCCAGCTATTTGGGAGGCTGAGGCAGGAGGATTGCTTGAGCCAGGAGTTTGCATTCAGCCTGGGCAACACAGTAAGATTCTGATTCTGAAAAATAATAAAAAAGTTTTAAAAAGCTAACTTTTAAACTGG